TTGATTCGAATATTTGGTTGCCTAATTTGTGCTTATTGATATATAATTTTGCATATTTGGATAATAAGCATTATTCCAATTAGGATTTTATTTCTTTTTTTGAAATCTTGGATATCTATTACTTTTCAAATTTGGATAGAATTTAGAATTTTCAAAATCTTTTGAATATATCCAAGATATTTGAGATATCTAATTTTTTTCAAGATGTGATCGATTAGGAAAATTTCCTAATCCGCAACCGCTACACGTGGAAATAAATCTATCTATCGAGCTTTAAATAGAGTTATTTCCATAGCGGGTATTTCGAATTTTAGGATTGATGCGTCGAGCTTGATCGAAACTTAATTCGAAAGATTTAAACGGTTATATTTTTTTACTTGATTTTAATTTCGAATTTTGATAAAAAATGCCAAAAATTATTACTCTAGAATAGGTTAATTTCTTTAGTTTAAAATTGCATGTTTAGATAATTGGCATTTTTAATTCCGAATTTCATTAAAGAAAAAAAATACAAAAAAATAATATGCCCGTCATTAGAAATAGGTCACGTCGTCGCATGACATATAGTTTGCATGTTAGGTTGCATTAATCGCATGTCAATTTTTTGCACGTCATTACATATAGGTTAGCTTTCATTTAAATAAATAAAAAATCAAAAAAAGAAAATTTCTGCACCTTTGAACTCTAAGTTAGGATTTATCAAAATTGTCAAATTAAGTATTTTTCTTGAAATTGGTACCGAAAGAGCGTTACGGAATCTAGCATAACCAAGTCCCCGAATCCATAATTTCTGGTTCGCAGAAATAAAATAGTACTCCCACTATTTTATTTAGGTTTCTAATCAACCTACCTTAAATGATTAGTGGCGACTCCCATTGAAAATATTTGCATGCTCATAATTGGACATAAGTTGCGAATTGATAGAGTTTGGGAGAACTCGAGCTAGGTTAGTTAATTTAATTGATCTAGTAATCCATTAGCCTAAGATCGGAAAGCCCGATTTTTTTAGGTCGCGCTGGGTTCGGTCCCCAGTGGAGTCGCCAAGCTGTCGCGACCTAAAAAAATCGGGTTTTCCGATCTTAGGCTAATGGATTACTAGATCAATTAAATTAACTAACCTAGCTCGAGTTCTCCCAAACTCTACCAATTCGCAACTTAGGTCTAATTATGAGCATGCAAATATTTTCAATGGGAGTCGCCACTAATCATTTAAGGTAGGTTGATTAGAAACCTAAATAAAATAGCGGGAGTACTATTTTATTTCTGCGAACCAGAAATTACGGATTCGGGGACTTGGTTACGCTAGATTCCATAACGCCCTTTCTGTACCAATTTCAAGAAAAATACTTAATTTGACAATTTTGATAAATCCTGACTTAGAGTTCAAAGGTGCAGAAATTTTCTTTTTTTGATTTTTTATTTATTTAAATGAAAGCTAACCTATATGTAATGACGTGCAAAAATTGACATGTGATTAATGCAACCGAACATGCAAACTATATATCATGCGATGACGTGATCTATTTCTAATGACGGGCATATTATTTTTTTTTTGTATTTTTCTTTAATGAAATTCGGAATTAAAAATGCCAATTATCTAAACATGCAATTTTAAACTAAAGAAATTAACCTATTCTAGAGTAATCTTTTTGGCATTTTTTTTAATCAAAATTCGAAATTAAAATCAAGTAAAAAATATAACCGCTAAATCTTTCGAATTAAGTTTCGATCCAAGCCCGACGATCGATCCTAAAATTCGAAATATCGCTATGGAAATAACTCTATCTAAAGCTCGATAGATAGATTTATTTCCACGTGTCGGTTGCGGATTAGAAATTTTCCTAATCGATCACATCTTGAAAAAAATTAGATATCTTAAATATCTTGGATATATTCAAAAGATTTTGAAAATTCTAAATTCTATCCAAATTTGAAAAGTAATAGATATCCAAGATTTCAAAAAAAGGAAATAAAATCCTAATTGGAATAATGCTTATTATCCAAATATGCAAAATTAGATATCAATAAGCACAAATTAGGCAATCAAATATTCGAATCAAATCGGGATATGATAATTACCTGATTTGCAGATTTCTTTCCTAATTTGAATATGCAGTGGATCGGGATTGCGATCGGCGGTGCGTCGGGAGCGGCGGCGCGACGTCGGGAACAGTGGCGGCTAGCGACGGTGACACGACGGGAACGGCGGCGCGGCGGGCGTCTCCGGGCAACGGCCAATAGGCGGGGACGGGCGGCTTTCCGGCGGCTGTGCAGCGAACAGCGGCGGCACAGGGCGGTGGGCTAACGGCAAGCGGTGCGGCGCTCCAGGCGGTGAGCGGCGGTGCGGGCGGCTACGGGCGCAGCGGCGGTGCGGGGCAGCTCTCCGGCTCGTGCGGCGAAGCGATGGCGGCACGAGGCGGGCGGAGTAGGGACGTCCAGGCGGCGGTGGCACCGGCATGGCGGTGGTGTGCGACGAGGCAGCGGCAAGCAGGCGTGCAGCGGCGGTGGCACACGACGGGAGACGGCAGCGCGCGGCAGTAAGTAATTAAGAATCTGTTTCTCGTACATGAAAGTAATTTTGAAGCCCTATATAGAAGCAATGAAACAAAATTTGAAAAAAGAAAGAAATTAATCTGGAAATGTCTAATGAAAAATTTCCTAATGTAAAGTGGCAGAACCCTGACCAAAAAAAAAAAAGTAGCAGAACACCAAGATTGCTCATTTGAATATGTGATAATACACAAGGAAGATAATCATTCTCTTGCTTTAAATATAATAATTTCGTTCAATATATACATAATTTGCTGACAATCACGCACCTGCCTTGAATGTGCCTCAACACTAGTATTTATTTATGAGAAAAACCAGTACAATTTTTTTTTTCAAGTATGAAAGCTTTTAAACTAGATGGCCGGTGTAATGCAGATCTTTTGGTTTATATTTGTCTTTTTCCGGATCTTGAAAATGAAGAGAAGAGAATAAAATATAATGGAAGCGAAAAATTTCATATACTTTTATAAACTCTCAGTTTTTAGAACTTTTCACCTTAAAAAAGGGCAGGGCTATTTCAGCCGTATTTTGGGTAAGACACTCCTTTTTTCAATTAATTGATCAAAATACCTTTCTCTCTTCAATTTGTTGTTCCTCTTTAATAAGGCTGACTGACAAATCTGCATTTATTTCTAACATCTCTCTAATCTGTTTTACAATATAAATGTGCAATTACACCCAACAAGATATCATCTCATCTTACATCATGTTATGTTTCCAGAATAAGTTTGTAGGTTTTTAAAGTTAAACATTATTTATTTTGTGTTTTCTTTATTTTAATCCAAATTGCAAGATTGGGGTTAAAAATCTAGTTGCACCTTCTTCACTTTCAAACTCACGTTAGATTATTTTAGAGGAAAGATTTAATCATATTTTAAAGTTATGATCCACTTAATTGATATTAATTACTTTCTTCATAATAGGAGTAGAGCGGCAAAAAGTTCCTTTTTTTTTAACTCCTTTTTGTATCTTTTGTTAATATTTAGATATGACCTCACTATAACCATGTTTAACATTTGAGTCCTAAACTTGTCACAAAAGTGCAATCACGTTCTAAAACTTGTCACAAAAGTGCAATCACGTTCTAAAACTTGTCACAAAAGTGCAATTTGTGAGATTTTGGTGGGACTACAGCCAACTGTTCTAAAAGCTTAAGCTGTTAGATGAAGGCATGGTTTATTATTTAATTACTCTAACACTTTCCCTAACGCTTAGCCTGGAAAGATTTGAACTCAGGACCTCCTGCTTTGATACTATGTGAGATTTTGGTGGGACCATAGCCAACTGTTCTAAAAGTTTAAGATGTTAGATGAAGGTATGGTTTATTATTTAATTACTCTAACACAATTGAGTCCTCAAACTTTCAAAAAGTGTAATCACATTCTAAAACTTGTCACAAAAGTACAATTGAGTCTTAAAACTTTCAAAAAGTGCAATTAAGTATTAAAACTTGTTAAGTTAGCGCATAAAGCCTTATAACTTGTCAAGTTGATACAATCAAGTGCTAAAATTTGTTAACATTTTTCGTTTGTTAAGTTGGGCGAAATTAATGGAAGGACTTGATTACATTAACTTGACAAGTTTTAGGACTTGATTGCATTTTTTAAAAGTTTTAAGACTAATTGCATTTTTATGATAAGTTTTAAGACTTGATTGCACTTTTTAAAAGTTTTAGGATTAATTGAACTTTTATGATGAGTTTAAGAATTTCCAGTACACTTATTCCAAAATAGAAATAAATGCAGTTTTGTTGGTTAACTTGATAAAAAAAAGAAACAATAAGTTGAAGAGAGAGAATGGTGTTTTAGTCAGCTAATTGAAAAAAAAGGGAGTATTTTAGCTGAAATAGGAGTGGAAATAGCGTCGCTTAAAAAAAGGGTCGTGTTTGTCAATTATTTGAGTCCTTAAAATTTCCTTTTTGGGTCATTTAAGTCTCAAAACTTGTCGACGTTCTTCGAATTAGCATCTCCGCTAACTCCAATGCTCTTTATTGGACGAAAAATCTATAAAGAATTATTTATTGATTTTTCTTTTATTTTCCACACAAATGGTCCTAATGTGGTGGAATAAAATAAACCAAAAACGGAGAAAGGTGCAAGAATCAAAGAGAGATCGGGGCGAGAGGGCAAGAAGGGGGAGGCGACACCACCGCCAACCCTTGCCGTGGTCACAAGAAGGCTTTGGTTGCCCCCAACTTCATGGGCTCAATTTGGGTTGGGCAAATAACCCCTCGCCGTTGAAAGAAAGTATCGGTTGGGACTCCTCTATCAATTAATTAGGTAATGCCGAGGTCCTTGTCGGCGACAGAAACTACAATTTCGGATCGCTCCGTCCACTAAAAGGCGACGGAATTAAAATAAATGACTTGCTCCAAAATAGCACAATAAATCTTAGAACTTTAATGTGACCAAAGTTTTAAGATCGAAAGGGGGCGAATCCAACATTCAAAGTCATTCTCGAAGGCAAAAAAAAAAAAAATTTGACCCCTGCCTTATAAATACCGACCGCGCTGCCTCAATCCACTGCCAAATCTCTCAAATTGCTCTCAGGTCCTAGGGTTTGTGCATCTCGTTTCATGAACGCAGTATTGTTCATCGATCTCGGTACGTATTCGTGCTTCCCCTTTGATTCTTGAATGACTCGATCAGGCTTCGTTCGTTGATGCATTGTTAATCTCTTCGTAGAATGCGCGTAGCTTGGTATTCACGATCGAGTAGGGAAGTTTCGGTCTTTTGGGTGATCGTTTTCTTTCGATTTTCTCGTGAAAAAACCAGGCACTGATTGCGAAATTCGTTCGAATCATTGTCTTCTCTGCGTATTTGCTTGGGATTGAGCGGGTACGGAAGAATCAGGGGAAAGAGTTTTTCTCTTTCACGCTCTTGGATTGGGGAGAGATTAGATTGAATTGTTGAAGGGTTTTCGTGGAAGGGTAATTTGACTCTTATTATGGCATGATAGCGGAAAACTTTTGTCTCTTGATCCTGTGATCTTTTTGATGAGTGAAACTGAATAAAAAATGGGTTTTTAATGTTTTCGCGTAGTGCATCGATTTCCTTGTCTCTCCTGAGAAACTTGAGTAGAATCAGAAAGAATTTCACCCGAGGCACATTTTCCATTCGTCACAGCAGTGAGAGTTCTCAATTGGGTTTTTGTTATCTGGTGGAGATTACTCTTTCCGGGGCTTCTCCGTTTCTAATTTTATTTTTCTTTGCTTAAATTGACTTTTGAATGCCCTTTTTTATTCTGGATTACAAATTTTAAACTTTTGTGTGATAAGTAATTCTGGCCTGTATTATTGACCTGAACTGCATAGATTGAATGCACGGGTGCCAGGGTTAGGCCTGTATGAGCATTACATTTGGGATTTGTGGATTTATCATGTTTGATTGATTGCAGACTAAAAGCAGAAGGAACTAGAGCTATGGGGAAGAGAAAGTCTCGGGCAAAGCCACCTCCTAAGAAGAGGATGGACAGACTTGATACAGTCTTCAGCTGCCCTTTCTGCAACCATGGCACAAGTGTGGAGTGCCGCCTGTAAGTTTCAAAGTTCCTTGTGTTTCTGTCTTTTTTCTCCTCTCATAGGAATGAGGCTGTTATAGGTTTATCCTCTGAACACTAACTTTGAAACTGCGCGACATGTTTTGTCTTTTGAAACAGTGCATGATTATATCATAAAAAGCTTTTTATAGATTTAAGACCATTTTCCTACTGAAGTGTGTTCTGATATTTTCTTTAAAGTATCAGATGAGGCCCTGTCATCTGATGTTGTGCATTTCCAAGCATTTAACAATCCTGATGTATAATAGTACCGCGTGGAATGCTCCTCTACAAATAGTCTTTTTGGAATATTAATCAGCCTTATAGAGCCTAAAACCAAACCGATACAAGTGCACATAACCAACTATTATGTTCAGCTTTTTTATGTAGAGATGCTAGATAAAACAATTGTCTTACAACCTTCATTTGTTTTTATCAGAAAACCTTAAATAGAAGAAAATAGGTCAAATTGTCTCTCAGAGAGAAGGGATGTAAAAGACATTTTCCTTTGAAAGAAGTGAATCACATCATTGAAATTTAGGTCTTATAGTTCGGAGCAAGAAAGAATAGGAATAGGATATGAAACTTTGGATTCATAATTCATTGTATCTGCGATAAACAAGGCTGCTTACAATGAGGTATAATTTGGCGAGAGTGATTTTTTGACTTTTTGCATATTTGTGGTTTCAGTGATATGAAGAACTTGATTGGTGAAGCTGTATGCGGGATATGCCAAGAAAGGTTTAGCACCTCAATTACAGGTATTTTCTCATGTCTATACTTTTGTATGGGTAAGCGTAAGACAGGTGTGGGAACTTATCGTGTTTCATATTCTTTTGCAATTCCTTTAATTAACTTCATTCTTAGGACAGCTTCTTTGTTTGTAGTTCATCTGGTTAGAGTTGTTGTGAAAGTGACAGATAATGTGCTTTGAGGAGCATCCCGAATTTGTACTGACTCTATTTATTGTCTTCTCTATGTCTTTGCAGCTTTAACTGAACCAATAGACATGTAAGTTCATTTGCCCAGAATCCCTTTTATAGTTCTTTCAAATGTCTCTCTCGTGTCTTACACAGACCTTGCAAACTTGCAGATACAGCGAATGGATCGATGAATGCGAACGGGTTAACACCGTGGAAGATGATGGTGCTTAGGCTGAAGCCTTAATGCCCAGATGCATTTAGCGTTAGATGCAAATAGCTCGTGACCCTTGCTGTCTGTAATTAGGTCCCTAGCAGAATTATATATGAACCTTGTCTCTATTATATGGGGCTAGCGAGACTGTAGTTGTTCCAGAGTATTATCCGAGTTACACAATGATCAGGGTGTATTGGCCCATTGAATTTACGCTTGCTGCATCCATTGCTCTTCTGACCCAGTTCTCTGATTGTATATGCGAACGTACTGTTATGATGTTGAGATCACTCCGATTGTGGAGTATATACATTAGGTCTCGATCATCATCTCTCTCTCTCTCTCTCTCTCTCTCTCTCTCTCTCTCTCTCTCAATGTTTATCTGTGCATGTCCTTGAAAAATTAGTGCGGTGGACGTGCTTGTGTTATTATGTTTGGCGACGAGAAAGAAGATGGAGAAGACATGAAAACATACATAGGGAATGTGTGTACCTCCAACCGAGCCATGTCTATCGTGAGAGTTGTACATGCGTTTATCGGTAAGCTTATAATGGTCTCACGTTGAATTCTATTTCTCGGGTATTTCGAACGAGCTCCATCACGAGTGAGACCGTCATGGTCGCACGTTTAAGCGGGGCTTTTCCACAAGATTTTGTAGTTCTCAATTTCTCTTTGCTTTAGGCCCCGATTGTTATAAACAGGAATGCAAACTATGCAAATTGGAAGCAGTCTACCAAAACATGCTCCAGTGAAAGTGGAAAGGTAGGGTTTTTCAATTTTACAGAGTCAAAACAAAGGCAAAAGTTTTTTTTTCTAAACATGTAACGAGAAAAAGTAGTTGCTTCTCGGGCGAGTTCAAAGGATGGGATGACTTACGCGTTGTCTCAAAATTTAAAAATAAGTTGTCATAGGTTGATGATGTCAAAGCCCAACTAGGTTGTGGATTTTTACTAGGTTTAAAACAAACCCAAATTGATCACTACCTAAAGAGTTAATAGAGGAAGAAGAATTAGAAAGAAAATCAGAGAAGCTATAGAGAACCATTGAAGAAGAGAGGGAAAGAGGCTGAAGAGAGCTGCCACAGCCGGTGCTCATTTGCTATCGACGCCGTGGCCCATCATAGCCGGTCTTGCCGGAGTCATTGACGGCAACAATAATAGTCTCTTTGACGACTGTTTCGCAAGAAACAATTCAGTGCTTCTCTCTGTCTCTCATATCCTAGGCATGACGGTAGATCTGTGTGTCGTTGCAATGATGGCATCGCCGCTCATAGAGGATTACAATGAACAATCAATGCTGGCCATCCTCTCTGTATGTGCTAGACATATCAATCATGTGACACAACTCTGAGTCGCGTGATTGTTCACTAATTCACATGACTTATTGAGGATTGCAATTAACAATTGTTGCTGGTCATCCTCTCCCTATGGGCTAGACATATCAATCGCGTGAAGCAACTCTAAATCACATGATTGTTCACTAAGTCACATGACTTGCGACATATGTCGATGGCCAGATGGTTCAAACTTGAAGGCTCTCTCTCTCTCTCATCCTAGGTATTTAACTGACCCTAGATCTGTATATCGTTATAATGACGGAATTGCCACTCATTGAGGGTTACAATTAACAATCGTTGTTGGTCATCTTCTCCCTCGTGTGTTAGATAGATCAATTGCATGATGCAGCTCTAAGTCGCATGCTTGTTCACTAAGCCACATGGCTTGTGCCATATGTCGATGGCCATATGGTTCAGACTTGGACGATCCCTCCCCCCTCTTTCTGTCTGCACTTTCTAAAAATTCTATTAAGTTAATTTTGCAGATTTTTTCTTTAACTTTTCATTTATTTATGCTCAGGTAGTTTGGATGGAGTGATTAGATAGGAAAAAAAGGAACTCAAATAATTATGAGAAAAAAAGAAGAGAATATTTGGAGGTATTTCAATTGTAATATTGTGTGGATGCTAGGGAGGGAAAAGAAAGGAAAAGAATACAATATAGCATAAATGTCATTTTGTATAAGTATTTACTGATACAGAAGAAAGTATGAGTTATAAAGAAGAATATATTTGTTTGTTAACACAAAAACAAAGATTATGGCCGTGTTAGCTGACGGTGTTGAAATTTTTAGTGAAAGAATTACATTGGTTGAATTTGAAGGTTTAAGGACAAGACCGAACAATAAAAAGTTGATTAACCACACTGAACAATGAAACAAAATTCATGGACCACCCATGTCGTAACCTCATATAATTTCGACCTCAACTAAATTTGTTCGAACGAATTCCCAAAGAAAATGACAATGCTAATTTCTTAGTATAGTAAGATTCACTAAATCGCATAAATCTGAGTCAAGACTTGTATTGGATGCTAAACATGGCCATTCATTTTCACCATCCAATCTTTATTTTATGTGGACAACCAATCGCATCGAATTTAAACAAATTATCTTAACATTCTCAAAAAAGAAACAACTTTTTGGAAAGGCCCCCAAGGCATGCTAGTGTTATCATCTTATTCCCTAGACTCACCTGGCTCTGAATAATCTTTTGGGACTTCACACAGCATAGACAGATAGACAAAACAAGATGAGCAAAAGCATCGCACGAAAGAATCAGATGCTTCCAATCACTTCACATCACATGCAAGGCTGTGCTCATTGCTCCAGAGATAATCTGGAATGCTTTTTACTATGCAAAACATGGACCATCGCAACAGAACATGAATCTGTTCGTAGATCACCGCCCAAATCGCACAGGCGATTCACTTGAAAATGATGATAGATTATATTGTAAAACGTCAATAAAGACGGTACGAGAACATATATACTATAATGTGTCCTATAGATTTCAACACAAGCACAATTCTTTCAACAGATCTAGAAAAAGATTTGAGCAATACATTAAGGAATGGCCACCAACCCATCACCTTAAGGAGCCGCCATCCATTTCCTAGTCTCCAACTGGTCATAATGATTAAGGACAGGTTAATATTCCAGAGGTTAGAATGTACACCAGTTTATGGATCTCTCCGCATGACCCCAAAAAGAAGTTGAGGTTTAGTTGATCTTATTGTTCATAGGTACTTCAGACTTGATGCAAGCAGCAAAAGGGTTAGCTCCGTTGCAGCCTGAGATAAAATGCTTAGGCTAATGCAGAAATGACCAAGAAGAGCAGCTTCTTCGTACACCTTCCCTTACGTTACGTAATATTCACCCTTGTTCTCCACGAGATAATCATATGGAGAAACCAATCCATAGTCGACTATTTCATTTGCTGCTGCACCGTGATTCTGATCTGAATAAATGTATCCAACACTATCCTTTGAATTAACTTTGGTTCTCCCCTTAACAGAGCGCTTATTATCAGGAGGGAACTCAGCTGTGAGCCTTCCCATCTGTTTCTGAAGATCAGCAAGAGAATCATTTGCTACCCTACCCTTTGGATTCTTCTTCCCATCAACAAGCTTCAGTTCCAATCTGTACAAGGCACAAGCATCGTACTTGTTGATCTCATACTCATAGAGATGCCACTCAAAGTGGTTCAGGGGTTGTGGATCCATATAATAAGACCTTTTCAGCCCTCCATGCTCATTCATGACTTGCTTCCGTGACTCATGCCAACCACGGCCGCTGTAGTCAGGTAAAGACCTCTGCTTTCTATTTCCACTTTCAAATGCTCTGCGAGGCTTGTCAAAAAATAGCCATTCCCTAATTGTCTCACCCTCAAGAACTGAAAGGTCAAAAAGTTCTGCAATCATAAAAGACAATCCAGGGAATTAAAAAACCTAAAAGGGTACATTATCTGTCACCTGGGAATACATAGCCCAGAAGAAATCTGTTAACCCGAACAAAACCAAATGAGAGAAAAAACGGACTACGAGTTTACCAGGTGCATTCCATGGAGACTTAGCAGTTGCAGCTCCCTCACATTCTGGGATGCCGACATCTCTCCCTTGGGCCTTGGCACTAAGAGCAGCAAAAAGAAGCCCATCTTTTAGACCAATTCCCCCTGGTCGGAGAACTGGGCTCATGCCTGGCGGGCCCTCATTTAATGCTAGAGCAGCATGAAAGCTACTGCAGTAGTCCTGACACCATTCCAAACCTTGAGCAGGCCTTGGGCAATCCCAGAGCGCACATTTGGGTCCCAGAAAGGCTGAAGGTGGAGGGAAAATACTTGGTAGACAGTTGGCAACATGAGGCATTGTATCCTCTCCACCAAAGCCTGTGCTGTTGTAGTTATCATAATAACTTTGGTTGAACCCTTGATTCAATCCAAACTGAAGCTGTTCCAAGCTGTTGATGCCATCTACATTGTCTATTGCTGCAGCACCAATGCCAAGATGGGAGTCTTTGCACTGATCTGCAGATGGGAAGCAGCGTTTCTGTGGCCTCTGATTGCCATTAAATCCCTGAAAAATATGAATACACCATTTCAAACTCCAAGCCGTTTCATATGATGAAACTCAGTCTGACAATCAGCAATAGACTGCATTGAGAACCACTATCATCTCCAATCAGAATCCACCATGAATTGTCATGGCATGGAGATAAGAACACAATGATATTAACTAGTCATATATGGACACTGCCTGAGATGATGCTCAAGCCTCAGCAAGTTAGCATAATTATATAAACAGAAGTACTACAAAGCATGACATAGAATCATGAGCAATAATTTAAATCCTAATCTCGCACTGAGGATTGGAAGATCCCTAAGATCTAGAAACTAGAACATTGCTTATATCTTTTTCACGATTACAAAATATGTACTATGGCTACAGGATCCCATTTCTGTTGATAAAACACAAGGATCGCTTTAATCTCACCAGACGCAAGTTCAGTTTTGAAATGAACTCGAGCTATTTAATTAGGTAATGTGCTATCGCATGTGTAATATTTGACAGAAAATCAGCAGAAGTTTCACATGTGCACGTGTGCATGAGAGAGAGAGAGAGAGAGAGAGAGAGAGAGAGAGAGAGCGAACTCAATTGTGTAAAGGACTTCTTATGAGCAAGTTTTAACAAGTTGTTCTGCTTAGGCAAGAAGTGCCTCATGAACTCCCTTTATCTCCCATTATTCCCATTAAGTGCCGTGCAAACTTTCAGAAAAAACAATGACTTCTAAGAAAACTATTATATAACAAGTGACTATAATCCGTCATCCCTCTTTGGGAGGTTTACATCACATAAAGCTTCTTTTGACTGACGTGTGCAAATCTTTTTTTTTGGCTAACTACTCTGCATTTATATTCTTGCATAACACCAAATGGAGCCCTTCATGCATTCAAATTGTCGATCAGCTTTTGGTGTACTAGTGCTTTGAATGAGATCAAGAGATCTAGATAATCTAACCTCAGTGATCTGGTCAATAAAGTCTTTAAGCATGTTATGCAAAGAGGGAGCAGTAAATTAACCAAAGCAACAAATGATTAAAAGCACAAAGTGAACCACACATCCTTGCAGGCAGAAAGCTCAGCCACGAAAGGAAGCATTCAGCAGATGAGCAGAAAGTCACATCAGAAGTTGCAGGGCCAAAATAAACTAAAGTGAAATAATTCTTCAGCATCCTCTCAATCTCGATCGTAATCCTTAACACATACTCTTGTCACACTTAGACGTTAAGATACGTAAATCTTGAACCTTGGATCACACGAACCTCAGTAAATTCAGCAGACACAAGCATAAGACTAACATATTGTGGAAAAAAATTTACTACGTTTGAAAGAGTGATTGTAGGATAACACTTCAACTTACATGGAGCATATTGTCAACATAAAAGCTTACTGCAGAACAAGTTAAGGAGGAAGCACCTCTGGCAAGCTTGTGCCATCTCCAACATTTAGGTTTTGATCATTTGGCTCTGCCTTGGGTGGAGTTAATGCACTAGTTGCATCATCTTCTTCCTCACAGAGTTGCAGCAATCTACATATATCTGATGAGAAGGAGGCAAGACTACCGCCCTATAGCCATCAAATAAAGGAGAAAACTTCTCAACATAACTTCAAAATGAAGGCAACAACTTGCAGTAAGCAATCAAAATACAATTATTCAGCATAACTTACCAGACGGCCCATCAAGACACAGTTTTAAAACCCACTTCCATTTGCAAAATTAATCGTGCACCAAAGATACAGGTTTGATGACTCTCTGGTTTTATACCAAAAGGAAATAAAAAGGGCCCCTACCAGGACTCAACCCTTGGCAGGATCATGCACAAAACTGTTTTCTCTCTCAATTAGACTGCATGTCCTCAAACGAAAGTTAAAAGCAACTTAACAATAATCCAAATTCTTTTAACTTTGATTTTGAAATCTCTCGACACAAATGCATCAATCAATAGAATTTTCAACATGAAAAGTTAAATGGACAAGTTCAGGAAGGTGACATATGAAGTAAAAAAGGGCGATGCAGATGAGAAGCTAACTTGTTGCAAAGACGATGCAGGAGAGGGCTCGTTGAGCTCGGCCTTCCATTCACGAAGCATTTGATGGACTTGCTCCTCAAGGACCGCGACGTCGACGTTGCGGCTCTCCTTCCTAGCAAATTGCAGATCCATGAACATCCCCTGGAGATCGTCCACTCGGTTCTTCGCCTTGTCCTTGAACAGCCTGTGGGAGGCCGACTTGCAATAGTTCTTCGAGCCCTTCCCCATCATAACAGTCCCCCACCTCAACTCCTGCCGGAACCCAAAAATTTTCAGAACCCTTCAATCAGATTGCCGCCAAAAAGAGGCACAATTCAGCAACCAGAGCAAACAAGATTCTAATCACAAGCTTTTGCGAATGCCACCGCATCGCGCCACACAACTCCGGATACACTAAACCATCAGTCAAGAATCTAACTTCACAAGCACGGCTTAAATCACTGAAGCACCCGACCAAGGTTTCAAGCGAGATTCGCCCAAAATCGAGACAACAAAAGCAGACAGAGCACAACCCAGAAATGCCCACAACAAGCAAGCAAGTACAGCACATAAAACCCAAGTACCCACTAACACCCACGAGCTAAATCACCCACACAGAGGTCCGAACTGGAGTGCCGAGAACCCTAACCCTCGAAGTGATTCTTGGACTTACCAGAGAACCAAGAAAATCTGGGGGCGGAGATGAGGGAGAGAGATGGAGGCGGTGGAGATAGATGGGGGGCGAAGGAAGAAGAAAGTGGGAGGAGAATGCGGGAGGGGGAAAGGAGTAAAAGCGAAATATATTCTGAGAGGACGAGATTGATCGAGTAAAGGGAGATGCCTTCTTACCGCAAAGCGTTTTCCTTTTGATGCCTTGCCGGTCTTCTTTTCTTCTTCTTACCAATAGGAAAACGTCACTCCTTTTGTGACCAAGATTTTCTTCTCCTCCTTTCCATTTTTTTTTTTTTGCCTTTTTTCTTCGGTTTGGGGGCTAAGTAAATGGGGGAGGAACTTCACACAGAAGTTAGGAAGACCGACTCCTCCTGGAAGGCACGCGGCCCTACTGATAGACCTGTTAAATGGATTTTAAAATTCATTTAAAAAATAAATAGATCATAAATGGGTCAATATAATTTTGAAGAGCCCATCTTAAATGGGTCTTAAAGTTTTAAGCCTATCATAAATGGGTCTTAATATGTTAAGGGTGGAACCCATTTCCAATCCACCCATTAAGCCCACCTCCTTTTTATAAATTTTTTTTAAATCGAGATTATTTTTATTTTTATTCATTTCTTTCTTTTTTCTTTATTTTCGGCCGGTGGCCGGCCATTGGCCACAGCGGAGGAACGACCTCATCGGAGGCCGGCAAGGCCTCGAGCGAGCTTGAGCTCGCCGATCTAGTGAGGCCTCGACCTCGCCGGCCTCAAGTGAGGTTGGTGAGCTCGAGTCTCGCCAGATCGGCGAGGCCGGAGCCTTGCCACAGGTCGGCGAGGCCAAGCTCGCTCGATTCCAGCGAGCCCGAGGCCTCACCGACCTGTGGCGAGGCATGGCTTGCCGGAATTGGGCAAGCTCGAGGCTCGCCAGATTGACGAGCTTGTCCTCGCCTATGGCCGGTGGCTGGTCGCCGGCCTTCGCCGTGGCCGGCCACCGGCCAAAAATAAAGGAAACAGAAAAAAATAATTAAAAATTCGATTTTAAAAAAATAAAATAAAAAATTATTAAAATTATTAAAATGCATGCATGAAGTGAAATCAAATCATATTTTGTATACCAAATGTCGGAAAATATTTTCTAAATAGCCAAACATTGAAAAAAAAAATTTCCTCGAAAAATGACTTCAAGAAAAATATTTTATAAAAATGTTGCATTTTTTAAGAAACAAACAGAACCTCAATTTTTTAAAAAATTTATAAAAATTCTTCACTAGCTTTGTATTGTATGAAAATGTTTTAGTAGTATAATTTTTAAAAATAGTCATAAGAAAAAAGTTTTCCTATATTTAGTTAAATATAGAAGTGTTTTACTAATATGGATCGGGTCAGGTATGGATTGGGTACGGATCAGGTCGGATATGGATCGGGATATTTATACTACAAATAAATGGGTCATAAATGAGTTAATGGGTCAATTTGGGTCGGGCCATTTATGACTCGACCCAAACCCGACCTTACCCACCTGTTTAACATGTATACCTGCTGATAAAGGGATTTAGGGGTTGAAGACACTAGTATCACATGTGTGGGGTTCGACTCCCTCGCTCTGCAATAGGCAGAGTAAAAGTCAGAGAGTGAGGAGGGTTAGAGATAAGACAGACAAAACAAAAAAAAAACTCTCCTGGAAAAAACTTTACCAACCCAAAAAGAAAAAAAAAATGAAAACTCCCAAGGGACAAAAACTAAACAATAAAAAGCACAAGTTCTAACGATGCCTACTGGTTCTTAATTCGTATCTTTCGTTTGGATTCGATTGAAAGATTAGTATTGTGGATTTATTAGGTGAACGTAAGAAGTACTGAACCGTACGAGCCAATTCATCGTTGAATTCGAGAATAGAAGCTCCTTTTTATGGCCATATGATTAACATAAATTTAAGTCACTAATTAGTGTCGAGATTAGATTTAGGTACTTCTTTTTGTTGGATATGCATAGACTGATCACCAGATTAGCATGAGCTAGCTTGGGGTGGACCCATTAAGCTCACAAATATGGAGTTGGCCGAGTTGAAGGGGGGAATCGCATCTAGGACGAGTTCGGGTTCAAGAGCCATTAATCATATAGTCAAGAAGCAAAAGACTAGACGGCATGGGACATGGAAAAATCGCCAACCTCTTATGAGCCGATAATCTAAGGGAAGGATTTGATCAGGCAAGTGAAAGACTCCGAATCGATAGCGCCGCGGGCGTCACTCAATGGGTGTGGGAGAACATCATACATCGGAGGTTTTAAAGGCACAATAGGCCTAGGATGTGGCCAAGTTGACTAGGCATGTCTTGAAACTTCTATAAATATGGGGTTTCATGAGTATTCTAGGATGTTGTCAAAGGTATTTTGGGTAATGTACACTTGTATTTTAGTGAATTCTAGTGATTAATAAAGTAGTTGGTAGATAGGGAAATTGAATTTCCATCATTAGATCAAGCGGCGATTTAGGGTGTAATTAGAGGAACACATGTATAAATAAGGTTCATCTCCCTCCTCTGCATCATCCCATTTTCAACGCAATAAAAAGCAATAGTGGATTCTCTCCCATGCACTTCTTTTTCTGCATGGTCGCGATCTCAAGTGTCCACTCGCGACACACGCACGAGAGCTTGCAAACATAAAAAGTTATGTTTTATCTTAATGACGGTTCGATTTGTCGCGCTTTACTTGTTTAGCTTTCGGAAGGATAAGATAGGAGGATAGGCTTTTATATTAAGATGCTCACCACTCTCTTTCTGGGATCTAATTAAGGGTTCGTTTGTACGAAGAAAAACTGTTTCCGAAAAATTATTTATGACTTTCCATAGTTTGATTAACAGAAAACTAATCAATCTACGGAAATGGACTAAAAATAACAAGCTTAGATTAGGGGAAAACAACTTCTCCTTCTAGCAAGAAGGAAATGCATTTTCCTAAACCACCAAACAAATGAAAACTCAACTATTTTCTATGAAAATGATTTACATAGAAAATATTTTTCCTTGTCATGAAATTTTCAGTGAAACAAACGCGCCCTACCTCTCTATTCATTTTCTAGTCCGCATTAATGTCACGGTGCCTTCTATATGGTCTCCCGAAATCAAATTTGAATGTGCCGTAGCTGGTATGGGACTTTTATGGTGACGTCCAAAGGAGGCCGCTCATGCTTATTCCCACCCTATATCTATCGAAAAAAGAAAAACAGAAAAGCAAAACTCCGTTTTTCATTTTGTAAGTGTCATGGACTTCTAAAGAATGTCAATTCCAATCTTTGAATACTCTTGAGTATGGATGAGCAAGGTGTGACTAAAGATTTAATTGGAATAGACAGAGATTTGCGAGAGATGACATGAAAACTAGGTGCAAATAGTCAGGGTGGACAAGTTGTCGAAGGACAAGAGATGATGGGGAGATATGTGGTCGCATTGTGCGGTCTGCCTGGGGCTGGTAAAACCATTTTCGCAAAGGTAGTATACAAAAATATCAGTCACCTCTTTGATGGATGTGAATTTCTTAATCATTCTTTGAATGAGATGAATTAGAAAAGAGTGGTATCTCCACAGAAAAAAAATTAATTTGAGATCTCAAGAGGAAGATTGCCCAAAGGTGGAATCCTCCGATGCAGGAATCAAATTGGTAATATTTCTATTCCAAACAAAATGAGTTTTCATTGTCCGAGAAGTACGATCATCCTAACAATCAGAAGAAAAGATGTCATTGAACATTCAATGTTGAAAAATTCAAGGGAACATGAGGCTATGAACGAAGATCATGCTCTTGAACTATTCAATAAGCTTGCTTTTGTCTATGCATAGTTTTTTGGTGGTTGTGCTGATCGGATCGCACCCCACAATCGATTGCCAATTGTTACTCATGCAATAATTGCAACTACAGATAAACTTGACATTTGTGGGAATTCAGACCTTTATGACATACTTGAACTTCACATATCATACAACAAGTTCAATCTACACAGACGAATTTTTGTGGCAACTATTTCTCCTCCAACTCATCCATAAAAGCATGTATAAAAGATCTTAAACAATTTCTACTCTATTTTTCTGTCCAGCTGTTTCATCCCTCTTTGTTCTCTTCTTCTCGTTTTTCCAGTTTATTAGCAGCACATACTCTATTTTTCCATACAAAAATTAGGTGAACGAAGAAACACCAAATCGTACAAGCCAATTTGTAGTTGAATTGGAGAACATAAGCTCTTTTTATGTCCATATGATTAACATAAATTCAAATCACTAATTTAGTATCTATATTAGATCTAAGTACTTATTTTTGTTTGATAAGCAAAGACCGATTTCCGGGTAGGCATGGGCTAACTTGAGGCGGACCTGATTCTAGGGGCCTTGCTAAGCCCACATGAATTATGATGAGTATATTTCATTTTCAAATTTCCAGCTAAGAATAAGTAAAAACGGGAAATAAGGATGGTGAATATAAGGCTGCTTCAGAAAATTTACAATTGATGAAATGAATGGGAAACAGGAAAAGATGAATTTATGACAAGAAGAAATCTTCACTACGAAGAGTGAAGACTTAGGAAGGAAGAAAAGAAGAGATTCTGCAACTGGCGTAGGGAGATTGAGGAGAGAGAAAAAGTAAATTATTGAGAAATTAAGGGGCATTTTGGTAATAAAAAGAGGTGTATTTAGCAAAAAAAGAGAAGTGTGGTAATAGTCCCACCCAAGTTATTTACTACATAAAAATTAAGATATGTACAAAAGAAATCATAAAACTTGTCGTGAAAATGAAATTTAATTCCAAGAATTTTAAATAGTATATTTTAGCATTAAAATTTGTCAAATTAATGCAATGGAATAATAAATACAAAAGCCCCCTCAAATTGGTGTCTCACCACAAAGTCAATTCAAAGAAAAACTAATGCAAAAAAGCATGAAGTTTGGCACCGCCCTTTTGGAATCTACCAATGAAGTCCAAATGGCCATGAATATTTGGCTGAAGTCCAAATGGCCATGAAAATTTGACTCATTATGCATTCATATCAATATCTGGAACCAAAATTTGTCAAATCCAAGAACCAAATATATTCTCAACCATCACATTACAAGAAAGCGTGATGAGCAGGAGAAGAAAGATTTTATGAGAGACGTGTTTTTATGCTAATTTTATGGGAAATTCAACT